AAAAACAGGCATGTGCACGAATCGCTTTTGGTTAAAGACAAGACTGAGATGAGAATTTGTCAAAATACTGAGATCTGAGATAAGAACAAGAATTTTAACTTATCAGACTAGTTTTGCACCATAACCACAATTTATAAAACCAACCAATTTTATTCACAGTGCACTAGTATTAATTATTCCTTTTGATATATAATCTCTTTAACTTAAAAATTTTCATAAATCACTGTAAGTAAAGAAATCAATTCCAGGGTCACATCCTTTTTCACCATGGGATTAAGTTGATTCGTGCAAGGGTCACCAATCATTACATTTATGCTGACAGATAAGGTAGTTTGTGTGCTACTGTGCAAAGTAAAGGAGTTACCTGAAAATTTTTCAGTTCAAGACTAAAAATTAAAGTCAGGATTAATGTTTTATTTTCTTAAATGCAACTAACATTCTATAATTTTAAAGAGTAAACTCTAATATCAATACATACGGAACAGAAAGCCTAAGAAGAACACTTCTAGCAGAAGATAGCCAGCAGAATCCACAATGTTGCCAGCTACAAGCGTGATCACAGCTAAGCCAAGGTTCTGAACTGACTGAGCACTGGTTGAAAAAAAGATATAAAAACGATTGAAATTCACATATATACATAACACTATTACATTTACCTTAAAAATGTTAGAAAGTGAATAAGAATGGTTGTAAGGATGGGATGAAAATTAGTCCTTTAGTACTATAGCCTCAAACAGGCCTACTGTACCAGCCCTCAATTATAGATGAGTATGGAGCATTGGCGGAATAGTAAGTGGAAGGTGAAAATGGAAGTACCCACAGGGAAACCTACCCCAATGTCACTCTGTTCACTACAACTTCCACATGGACAATAACAGGATTGAACCTGGGCCTCCATAGTGAGGTCAGAAATTAACTGCATTAATGAATAAGTTCATACATCATTAAGTTTGAAATTTTAGCATATATACAAACAAAAGCAAACAAATTTCCTCTCCTTGATCACCTTAGCTCATTATATGACCTTCAACTAGGAAAATTCCAGTACCAGAAAATGAACTGTCCAACGGCAAATTTATTTTCGTAAGGAGCTTTGAAACGGAAATAAAAAATTTTCAAAATTCAGAGCTCCCACAGATGTATTTTTCAATCATTAGTGTATGGGTCATTCCCATGTTTCATGCATTGCAGAAGTTTGTGAATGCAATTAAGTAAGAAAAAAAATAGTTCCTCAAATTCTATCCTCTACCTGTTTATTTCAGATTTCTGTTTCAGTTTTAGAAGTTTCTTCCTTCTGTTTGTGACCTAGTTTCAGCACCTAAACAGTTGAGCAGACTTTCTTAAATTATGTTGTGGGAAAATGTCCATTAAGAATTGTCATGCAATGCCAACTTTCAGCTGTACTAATCTATAATTAAAGTCTGGTTTACGTAAGACCATAAATGAACTTTTCCACATATTCCATACTCTGCTTCATAGATATTGTTGAAAACTTATACGGAAGATTTTCATGAAGTTGCTGAACAATTTCAATTTTCTGCCATATTTATCCAAAATAAAGAAGAGTTTGCATGTATCCCATAAACAAACATATGTTGCTGAAATTCAATACTAGGGGAAAATCACTAACTGCATTTCATTATTCCCAACTATTGCTACTTATGTGTGCTACACTACACTCCACCCTTTCCATGCTCCTCCTCCTACTTATTATTCTTGTCAGAGAAGAAGAAATTGTAGGAGGATAACCAAACTACTGAAGTAACACAACTGAAATTCAGTGCATCCTGATGGCATTAACTGAAATTCAATTTATCTAACAAGTATAAGCATATTAAGGGATGTCAGAGTTTGGATAGCTCAATCAGTATAGCAAAAGACTATGCACTGTATGGATGGGGTTCGCTTTCTGGAGGGGCAAGAGATTTTTCTCAACTCCTCAGCATCCAGATTGGCTCTAGGGCCCACTCAGCCTCCTATCAAATGGACACCAGTGGTTCCTTCCCCATGGAGTTAAGCGGCTGGGGCACAAAGTTGACAATGAGCCTCCATCTAGTCTAGGTCGAGAATGGTGGAGCTTTATGTCTACTCTTTCATACGACTTCATGGTGTGTGCTTAACCCGTTGCCGTGGTTCGTCGTGTATGTTTCGTCAGGGATTTAAATCGTCTGGGGGGGTTCGACGTGTATGTTTCGTCCAGCTGCACACGTATGTTATAACGCCCATAATAATTGATGGTTTTGCTGTAGATTGTTAGATTTTTC